TCAGCAGGGCGCTGGTTTTTCCGCAAGACATTTGAATAAAGGATAAAAGACTCACCTTCTTTATCCCTCAGAAAGGGCAAATAAATCTAACTTAAGCAATAGCTAGGTTATCTTTACTGTAGACTTGTAAAAAGTGTTGACTGAGGATCAACAGGTTCACAGGTTGTTTTGCTGCTGGGAATCAATCCTCATAATATCCATGGCCTTACAGGAATGTGTTTGAACCCTGATGGCACAAAGAAATCACATTCTCATGGAGCACGGAGAGAAAACACACAGTTAACCAACCTCCCCCCAACACCTTTTCAAGACGATAGTATCCCTGAACATATTAACATGTAAATACACTTAGATACTTTGACAATGCACTGAAATGCATATAATCTACATGCTAACTAGTCCTTTAAAGAGTTTCCACTGCTGAATGTGGAGCAGGAGCACTTTCAAGTCTGGGTTTTAAAAATTAAATGTGAGGCCTCTCTCAGAAACTCTAAAAGCGTTTTTCAGTTTGATGAGGGATAAGGCGATGACTGGGTTCCCTTTTCAAAGGAGGAGACCCAGAGTTCAATAAGACTTCAGTCTCATTGCCTTTGCCTCCAAGTTGAAGATCTAAATGCTGGCTTCTTTTTTTTTTTTAAGAAAGAACCCACCACGTTAGGTGACAGATGGCAGGTTGTTATGCTGAAATACCAGTTGCTATGGTCCCCCTTTTTCCTCCGCAGCTTCACTTGCCACAGCTAAGCATCCCCTCCGAGGCCGGTGTACTGACTTGGAATAAGCTGACTTGAAACCGTTCAGGTTGTTGTTGACAAACATGAGCCTAGATGAGTCTCCTAATCTCCCGCTCCTTTATCCGCTCTTTATTGCCATATAAACAGGCCTGAATACGCTAAAAAAACTAAACCTCTGTTTTCAGCCCTCTCTTATCTCACACAGGGTTTAATCTAATGCCCTCTACCCTTTTTACATCTCTGCCTCGGCTAAATTCGACCATATTTTTGATTCAGCGCATCGCCATGACGACCAGTTATTTCCCATCCTTGAGCCCACCCCCTCAAGCTCCTCTTCTCCATTGATACTGCTACCTCCCCCTACCCCTTCTTTTTTTGTCCAAATAAAACAAAGCGCGGAGTGAATGTGCTCTGAGGTAGGTAAATGTATTCAGTGACATCAGCCAGGACGAGTCTATTCTGCTGGATTCCTGTACCACTTGTTTCCAGCCTTGTCTGGGGGCCGGATACTCTGTTTGCTCCATTGTCCCACGTGTATTCCACACAGGCCCGCAATTAATGGAAGCCTTGTCTAAGGCTCCTGGAGCAGAAACTGCTGTTGGGGAGGGGGACAAAAGGCGGGCAGAGCCAGGGGCTGGGAGTTGCTATGGGAGGGCCCCCCTTCCCTCTTTAAGGGGGAATTCAAAGGCAGAAGGAGGGACGCAGAGCGAGCGGAGAGCTGGATGAGATGTTTAAGTGATCCCTCTGTCTGTGCCCTCCCCTCCTGGCCTGAGATGTTTTCATACCAGCAGTTGAAAGGGAACCTTTGCAGCATTTGATGATGAGGATGGTCATTTGACTGCCCAAACAGCAGTGGTGGCTGGGTGGAGGAGAGACCGAAGGCCACTGTATTTGGACTGGGTAAAGATGGAGAACAGTGTGGCAACTGTCAAGTGACCATTCAACTATTCAAATTCCAAAATATGTTTTAAAATATCACTTGATATTGAATAAATTTTACTTTGCAGTGTGTCACATCTGCCGCAACCACATGAGCACAAGGAGCCACACGCTTTGGCCCTTCAGCCTTCTAACTTCCAGAGATGAAGCTTCATCATATCCATAACAATACTATTGTATATAATGACGTGAAACCAACTTTCTCATGTTCTTGGCTCTGATATGGAAAATCAGTCAGCTCTCATCAAAGAGAATAAAAGAGTTAGGGAAAGGATAGGAAAGGATCTTGCCATCTAGCTTCTTTTCCCCTTGGGTAAGACATTAAGATCAGAAGAACATCAGCTTCAATATAGTTCATGGCTTAATTGTGTTTTACATACAGTACATCAGAAATGGATTAAAGTCTTCAACAGGTTGCAGGTTTGTTTTTGCCTCCTTTAATCAAGGTGAAGTCCAATCCTGCTGCCAATTGGCCACTCGAAATTACTAAATGGGTATATTCTGAATGATAATAATTTTACTTGTGCATCTAAAATCTATTTCAAAATATAGTTGTTGTTTTGGTGTCACTGTGACACTTTCAACTTTCTAACTTAACTCTGTAATGTCTTCATCTTGAACATAATTGGACTGTGTCATTTTATATCAACAAACCAAACCATAATCAATAGTAACCCAACGCATGTTTTCCTGACACAATTTCCATCCCCTTGTGGTTATCAGTCACAAGTTGGACCCTGATGGCTTCCATCGCCGTCTGGAGTATCCCGCTGCAGGGTTCCCACACTGATACACATCAGGAGCGTGCTATAAAGCTCATGTCTTCATCTCCATCTGCACAATAAAGGCTTGTTTGTGGCAGAGCAGCAGGCTCAGTGAAAACACAACTGATTGGACATAATTTATTGTTTCGTGGCCTCTTCTCCACAAACCTTCTCATCCGCTGTGTATACGGAGCTCTGCCTCCTTAAAGCAGCATCATGTGAAAATATCCAGTGAGAAGATTAACTGAGCACTTTGTGTGAATGGTCGGGGGGGGGGGGTGTTAGTCTGGTGCACCGGTGGGAAACATAATTTTTTTTTTATACCAAATAAAATTTTGTAAAGTAGAAATTACTCAAGATGACCATTTATTTGATCACTTGGCTTGTTAGAAATAATTGTATTTGTTTCCTTGTCTGTTTATCTTTTAAAGCTCGATAACAACAAGTACAAAACTGACTTTTATCCTCTGTTTTCTATAAGAACAAAACAATGTATTTTCCTTTTTCAACTACTGTGTTAATTTGTTATATATGTAGGGTCGAGCTCATTAGGCTGTAGGTTTGGTTTAACTTAATATTGACTCATGTCATAAAAGCCAGCGGTGCTTGTCGTCGTCCTGCTCGTGCACAGAAGAAGCTGCGGAGGCAAACACTGACCTGCTTTTGGGGTCATTTCACCTCTGAGGATTTAGGAGCTTTACAGAGAGCGTTTGAAGTACATCAGAGAGGATAGAGGAGTCTCACAGTAAACATGGGCCTGACAAAGATGTCTGTCAATAAATAAACACAGAAACTGCATGGTACAAGTAACATGTGCCCTGATAGTGGGATTAAAGTGGTTCTTCACTTGCTGTTCAGAAAATTCTACTTTGTAATAAATACTGCATGTGTAAAAACAGTACAGACCAAATTAGTAAGATACAACTTAATGTGTTAATTATCACAGTACTAAATAATAAAGATAATCACAATCTCTATTTATATTTATCCAGCAATGCAATAAGTTTTATAACACAAAACCACGTAGGGAGAAAATTCAAATACTATGATTTAACATTCATACTGATTCATCTTTGTAAAAAAAAAAAATCAAAAAAATTATCTAGACAAAATGTTGTTTAACTTTTTTTACATATATTTTTCCTGTGGCACTGCTGACTTCTATTCAATGTTGATTCAATGTGCTTAATATTTTCTTGTATATCTGAGATGATAACAAATAAATAATGTTTGATAAATATGGAGACTTTTATAATTTTAAAAACAATACTGGTATAAAGTTTGAGTTTTGCACCCCAGTTACCTTAAAACTATAATTAGAAATATTTTATTAGATATATCAAATAATCAAGGAACAGAAAATGAAAATATTGGTGGATAAAAGTGAAAACAAATGTACTTACAGACTGCAACACACTGATTGTGGAGATAAACACATGAATCCTTTAAAGTATTTTCTAAAACCTTTTTGTTGAAATTCTTGGTCAAACAGACTTTAAATAACTCCTCAGCCTCTGCCCAGTCACTGATAACGGACAGGAGGTGTCAGAGTTCATGGCAGTGAGAGGACAGACTGAGTGTGTCAGAGATTTTCTTCTTCACTGGACATCAGGCCTGGAGTGTGTCAGAGGATGAAGCCTTCACTGCCTCTCTGAAGCACTCACTGACCCCTGAAACCAGAGTGCGTGTGCACCCGAGAGGGGTAAACACAGCGAGAGTGAGAAGAACTGTTTGGTTTCTCTATAGACACCTTGTTAAACATTCAGCTTTAACATAATGAGATGCTGTTTCAGAGGATGAACCCAACTGAACCACGAAGCAGTTAAAAGTGATTTTTATTCTCCACCTCCATCAGAGCTAGTTTTGGATACAGAGCCACAACACTGGTGGTCAAAAAGATGATATATGAATGTAAAGAAATGTAATGCAAACGTGATGGGATGTGGTTCAGAAAAACATGTTTAAAAAAACCTAATCTCATCGCCTTTTTATGTTTTTTACATTTTAAATTTCTTGTAGAGGGACAGAATATTATTAATCCTTAAATTATAACTAACTCAATAAAATAATGATCGATGCCCATGCCACAGTACAGGATGTTAAATGAATCTGACCCAGGCACACAAATTCAGTAAGAATGAATCTGAAATGATAAGAAGGGGAGAGATTTTTTTTTTTTCATTTGAAAGCAACAGGTGGTAATTTTAATGAAAACTATCAATTGCTTTCAGATTGATAGAATTGATTTGGTGCTCCAGCTGCTGAAATGCATTTTAATGTCACTTTTATCACAGCATTGGTTTAAGATAAATTCTTATCCCCACATTTGCACACTTCTTCAGTGCAGCAGCTTTGAACGTTGACAGCGGCACTTCCCATCACACCTCACTCCTGCAGCATCCTGACAGCTGGTAACCAATGGCAGCGCCCGGCCGCACGAGCCCCGCCGCCTCCCCGCGCGCTCATTGGCCGCACCGACGGAAGCAGGGAACCCGCGCACGAGCCGCTCGCGTGCAGACGGCGGCTCTATAAATAAGCTGCGAGGCGCAGAAACAGGAGACAGAGTCAGTGTGACATTTCCCATCAGATCGCTGCGCTGAGGTTCAGTCAGGAGAAGGAGGACCACACCGGGACCGGACTTGTCTCTGCCACTGATAAAGTTCTTTTATTTTGATAGTTACACGCTGTTTCATCACACGGGAAGATGCCAGCAGGAACTTTGGAGAGGACATCTCCATCCGCTGTGGCTGCAACTCCAGCAAGTGGACACTCCACACCCGAGAAACCCCGAGCACTGACGGAGAACAGGAAGGTTGGTTGTTGCAGCTTTTTAATTTGAAATCTGGATTCGTTCGTTTGTTTGCTGAATGCTTTATGGAAATGATCATAATGGCATTTTCAACCTTTTGTCTCTCAAGTCCTCCAAACCCATCATGGAAAAGAGAAGACGTGCGCGCATCAACGAGAGTCTGGGGCAGCTGAAGACCCTCATCCTGGACGCACTCAAGAAAGACGTAAGCACATGCACAGATACTACATTTAACATGCACAGATTACTAATTTTCACATGCTTAGATGAGTACATTTTCATTTAACATGCTCAGATTGCTACATATTATTTTTTATCATACACAGATTACTACATTTTCATTTAAACATGATCAGATTACTACATTTTCACATAACCATGCACAGATTGCTAATTTTAACATGCTCAGATTACTGCGTTGTCATTTTTACATGCACAGATTAGTACATTTGCATTTCAACATGCTCAGATTACCACATTTCACCTACACACATTAATGATTTTTAACCTAAATTGTGAACCAAATTGTCACTTTTGTGTGTTTAGAGTTCCAGACACTCCAAACTGGAGAAGGCAGACATACTGGAGATGACTGTGAAGCACCTCAGGAACATGCAGAGACTTCAGATGACTGGTATTGTAACTATAACCATTTTTGGATTGACCATGTAGATCGTAGTCGTTCTGGGATGTCTAACTTTAGATGCTAAACTTGTTCCCTCTGGAAGATTTACGCATGCACAGCTTTATACCCTCAGGCTACAACTGCATGAATAGAATCACACTTTTCATTATTTAAATTAGACAATTTGTCAAGTAATATAATATTATGATAATGTCTAAATAAATCTATGTTTATCTGTTTATTCATATCTAGTCTTTATTTTCTTTGGCAGCTGCTGTGAACACAGACCCATCTGTCCTGGGAAAATACAGAGCTGGGTTCAGTGAGTGTGTTGGCGAGGTCACCCACTTCCTGTCCACGTGTGAGGGGGTGAACACAGAGGTGAGGACTCGCCTCCTCAGCCACCTGGCGGCCTGCGTGACCCAGATCAGTGCTGTCAACTTCTATGGAGCTCACCCGGGCGCGCTCGGACAAACCAATACACAGATTCCAGCTGCCTCAGTCGCACAGATGCCTTGTAAAATTGGCTCGACGTTGCACGTTTCCCCAGAAGCGATGAAGCTCTACGGTGGCTTCCAGGTTGTGCCTGCACCAGATGGACATTTAACTTTTCTCGTGCCCAGTGCGGCTCTCATACCTCTTGGTGCACAAAACAGCCACCCCGTGTCACCTGTTGCACCTCCGGTCACCTCAGACTCTGTGTGGAGACCATGGTAGAAAATCTACCCACAACAGATTGTGGGGGGAAAAAGGACTATCACTGAAAAAACATATTTTTGTACATTTTGTAAATGATTTTTTAAAACCAACCTGAGAGGGATGTTTACACATATTTGTGTTTTTATAAGGACAGTAGGAGATATTCTGGGCCTTATTGCTTGCTGTGATTTTCTGGTTTTGATATGGCACAACCCATTTTGCTCAGGAGGTCAAGGAAACTCTTGAAAAGCTCTTGAAAAGCACTGTATTTTTAAGTTGAATAAAATGTTTTTATGATGTTTACACAATCTGCTGCAGTGGTGTCTTGGTCATTTCTCTTCTTCCAATAAACCTCCATCAGGTAATGTTGCTGATGTCCATTCATACAGAGGCAGATAAACCTGTGCAGCCTTTGGGTCAGACTTCACCTCAGACCTGTGGAAAGTCTTAATCAATTAACATCCCTTGCACATGCACAGCAGCCATTTAAACACAGCCCCCCTTCTGTGTGCCGTGTCCACACCTGATAATCCCTTCGCAGTGAAATAGAAACCTGTTTTCTGGCTTGAAATAAATACCTCCCTAATGTGGTTGGGAACCTGAGATGTCGCGTTGAGCCCAAAAGGCGTGCTGCCAGGCAGTTAGGAGGGCGGTGCAGGGTCTGCTGACACGCGCTGGCCTGTCTGCCCTCCTGCCAAATGGAAGTATGAAATAGATAGGGCATGATGGCAAACCTACTGAGAGGGTTAAATGAAGACTGTGCTGAACAAGATACTGACCTTACTTAAGGATTAAGTGTATGTTGTTACTTTTGAAGACTATTCTCTGCACATATCTGCTATCAGAAGATATCTGAAACTCATCTAATGTGCAGACTGTCAATGTGATATGAAATGATTTGATGATGTGTGTGTTTGAACAATGCCTTATGATGATCATCAGTGACAGCAGCCACCACCCCTGCAGAGTCAGTCAAATCTTTTTCCGTTTAGCGGACAGTTGAAGACCTGACAGTCCCAGCGTGTGTCCTGAGCGTGGTGCTCACACAGCAAGCCACAAGAAGAGCGTGACCAGAGGTCACAGGTGCCCCTCATTCACGCTCCCGAGACAAGGGCAGCTCCGACAGCATGTTGCCCTAAATCTAGCAACCCATCAACCGACCTGGCAGCCCATCACCAGAAGACAAGGCCTCCCTTTGACGGCATCAAACAGTGGCACCTCCAGAGGCAACACTTACACAATCCACGGCCATTTGGTTGTTCCTGATTTACTATTCATGGAATTTAAGAGATTAGGTCACAACAGAAGCAGAAGTAACCACTAGTCTCTGAGTAGCCCCTGTTTCGTTGAAGATCAGGTGCACAATATTTTGCACATACTGTATGTTGTTGGAACAAAATCCTAAATTAGAATTTAATTTGCCAAAGAAAAGTTATTGAAAATGCGCGAATGTGTGCAAATGTCAATTAAGTTTACACCTCTGTTTTGGCCCGGCTGAGAGGAGAGTGGCAGTAAGGAGGACTTAAAGACAAAAATAGAGCTCCCCCTCATATCAGAGCATCCTTTGAGAAAGCCGTCCGAAACACAAAAACAAAGACGGGCCCCTCAGTGGCTCAATGGCTCCTCTCTTTGTGACCCTCTCCATCTTTATAAAGGGCCTTCCCCTTGTTTATCCAGGCAGAGGTTTAATGGCCAGGAGGGGGAAGGACCATGCTGTCACTTTCACCGTGCTAAAGAAGGCTTATTGTCAGCCGCTCCCAGAGGTCCTGGTCCTAAAGGCTGTTTGAGAACTCTTCAGGCCGAGGCTGCGCTCTTCAGATAAGAGGAGCTGTGAAGTGCCAGGTCGCTCCTACAACCATACCTGTAAGTGATGGAGGAGCTGGAGTGGTTCTGCGTGAAGCAGCTTCAGTAAAACATGACCATTCTTGATCAAATTTGCTCTGCTTACTGGTGTCGCACCCCTCCCAATATCTTTTGTCTGATTGTGTCTTATCCAATGTCCCGGCTCCTCCCAGTTTAAAACCTCACTTTTAAGTATTTTCCCAAAACATTGTAAAAGCAGAGAACAGTAAAGACGCAGTTGGAGAGGGCCTGAAGTCTGTGATCGATGGCCTCTTCTCACAAACACAGTGACAAAGAGTGACAGGTCCCCTGCCTTAGGACACTGTCTCCTTCTGACACACACCGGAAACCTCCAGCGCCTCCGCCTCTGCGGGTGAATCGCTGCGGCATTGTTCAAAGGGTTGTTATGGTGCATGATGGGGGTGGAAGTAGTCAGCGATGGTTCACATCAAGGCAAATGAATAGATTATGCACTCGATATCAATGGTGAATGGACAATACTCTTTGTCCCTTCACTCCAATTCATCCCTTTTTGATTTAGCAGGTTGTTTTTGGAAAACTCACAATAACTGGTGGAAGTGCAGCATCCGGGGGTGGATTTAGTATCGCCATGGCTCAGTAACGCTGAAGTGGGAAATTTATTACCACGGACCTACACAGAGAGATGATGCTGTGGCTGTTAATACTGAGTAGCTGAGGTAGTACATCACAAGTCAGTGCATCTTCAAAAGAAATGTGTTGAGTGTTGGAGAGGAGGTGGGAGGTGGGAGGTTTGTTTTCGCTGTAGTTCTTGGCCATATGCCCGTGAAGGCTTATGAAGAGACCCATAAAGATTCACTTACACTGCAGGTGTTCCTTCAAAGTGAGACATCCCATAATACACACGCTCCAATTACAGCCTTAACTTTTGGTCTGGCTAAGCTGATAAGACTGAAAAAACGTGTGTAAGGGATCGATTGAATTAACCTGAAGAGAATGAAACCGTCAAAGTGAAGCTGAAAGGATAAATCTGGTTCATTGAGACGTTCCGTTATTTGTGCAACTGATATTAGTGTAGTTTTGTCCATTTCTCCTAAAGGTAATAACATTTTTCTTTTCAAGTTAATTTCTAAGACTCAAGCTGAAAAGAAGTCAAATTAGTCGAAAATATAAGTGTTCAAATGTTTATGCAGGTTTTTAAACAATTCCCCAATTGTAACCAAACTGGTTTAGAGGAAGAAACACAGAATTGCAACATGAATATTCACATGGTCAATTTCAAACACCATCTGAGTTTATAGGCTGACTTCCTATTTCAAATCTGACCCATTGTTCCTACATTTAATGTGTGTACAGTAATTATAATAGTTTTGTGAGTTCAATTTTACTTAGAAAATAGTCCAATAAACACACAAGTGCTGGACAGGTTGATGTTCCCACTAACATTTTAATTACCTCCCAGGGCCTTCTTCAGCATCAACTGGTGTGTGACGTTTCTTGACCTCTGGCTTTACTTGAACCTATAGATTAATGAACTAACTCACTGAACTTGTTGCAGCAAAGATGCAAAGCAATTACGTTGGTGAGATCACAGAACCAATGAAAGTATGACCCTAAAATGGATTCAGAAGAAGTCACCGCCCCAGACTCAGCCATAGTGGTGTAGTAGATCATTGTATTTGGGAAAAGGTTTCACCACACGAGTACTATTACTTTAAATACTTAAAGTATATTTAAAAGCAAGGACCTACTTATATTTACTTTTAATTTAACCTTTTCTTTGGCACATTTTGGTCTATTTGTTTGTACTTCTCCTTGAGTAAAGTGAAGTTTGGGTACTTCATCCACCACTTACAACAGGCAGTTATTTATTTATTGCTGCTCTCAATTTTGATGCTAATGATTAAAAGTTAAGCAAAAGGTTTTCTGACTGACTTGTGGACTCATCTTATTGACGATGGTGGTTTGTAATGTCTTCTAAACCTTCCTTTTAAAGCATAATCAATCATCTCCAGCACTTGTTCTTAGCTGCTCATATGCAACTGGACATACTTGAGTTTCTAAAAGAACGTTTCACCTCTCTTGACGTACTCAAGCATCCGTTATTCACATCTCTACATCGTGAAACAAAAACCTCTTCAGAAATTACTTCTGCTTCTAGAAGTTGGAGTGTGGGAGGTATATGTCAATTGTTTTGCAGCTAAGTTTTGCTGTGACTCTTCTCTGGTAATATAGAATGAAGGGCTGCATGCATACATAATAAAAACCTCTCCATCTGTGGAGCTGGAAACAAAAGAAGGAACGCCCTATTAGAGAGAGGTCCAAGGGGCCACAGATCCTGATTCATCCTCCATAATTGTAATGTGATGATAAGGAGCTTATAGCTTCTTGTTATCCTCCAATAGGAACGGACAAGACAAAGGAGCAGTATACCGGTATGCAAAAAGATTACCATTCTGGTGACACCTCCCCATCCACTTAACACCCACATCAGGTCATCTGTTCTTAATTTGGTCAGCAATACCAATTTGGCCTCCAACTGGGGGTCTGGGTGCACTGAGGGGTAAACATTGACCCTTGTTTGTAAGCAAGCCTCTCGTTTAGAGTCTGTTTGTGTTCCTGAGATGTTCAGGTCATCGTATCATGGAGGATGAGTGTCACCCTCTCACAGGCTGAGAGAGAGGACCTAATAGACACCTGTTCACATTAGAGTCGCCGTCATTTCACGATTGACCAAACTCATTGAGGGGAAGCAGGGGAAAAAAACAATGAGAATGATAATTGAGGAAAATGTTCAACTGGGATTTACGATGTTTGTTCACAAGACTGAAATACGTGTCCTGAGTTATTAATACAGTAAGATATTTTAATGATAATATTTGTCTCAAAACACATAAAGCAACTTGAATTGAAATTAGTTTACATTTTCAGATGAAATACCCTCTTCTTGAATTCTTGCCCCAGGCACTGAGTCTCAGATGACCTCTACTCTTTGTCCGGAGGACCCTGCCCTGCCCTCGCCGCCTCCCTCCTCACTGGCCAGTCTAAACTCTGTGGGAAACCCCCCAGTGCTTTGTGTTGTTTTGGACATTGTTTGTCTCACCAGATAATGTCTCCACCCCTCTGTTTCTTCCCTCTCCCATCTGAAGAGCTGCTGTGTGGAGTGTGGTGTCCGGTACTAACTGCCCACTATGCAGGAGCCAGAGATGGGATCTCAGCGTGGGGGTGAAGAGCTGCTTTTCTCTGTGCCCCACAGGACTCAGCACTCAGACCCTGCTGCTTAAGATTGCTAGGCCATGAGTGTATAAGTGGCAGTGATGGAGGGTGACAGGTTTGAAGATTACTCTATTCAACCTATTTCTCAAACGTAAGATTTTCCAAAGACAAATATTGTATCACGTACAATTTTGGTTAAACAGGCAGCCATTTAAAAAGGCACCTGAGATTTGTTTAAATACAATAAAGGTTATGTAAAAAACACAAAATACCCTCAGTTCAACATTTTCATGAATTTAAACACTTTTCTCTTTTATTTTATCTTTTGAAATTAAACCAGAGTATAGCAATTTTGGGCTACTTGGGAGCAATGCAACAAGCTGTAAACACAAATGTGCATAGATGATATGGCTAACATGCAACATGTGGTTAGATATTACGATACAATGACTACAGTGTTTTAAAAATCCTCCTTACATTAAAACTTGTCATCAGCATTTTTTTTAAACTAAGGTGAAACCACTTTATAATAGAGACCGCTCAGCTGGTGCATTATTCTCAATAAGTTCATCCATACACTGTCAATAAAATGTTCTTTCTAAGTTGGCCTATCTTATTTACTTTCTTTTTCTTGCTGTTCCAAATAACTTATGTGATCATCTAAACCCAAGCTTCCCACTAAATTAAGACATACACTTAACAACGTCCATATGTCTTGTTGCTCCTTTCCTAACAACCCTTAATGTTAAATGTCTGTTTTACCCCATAGTTTTAGTCAAATGAGGATTACTCCCTAACCTAAAGACCATCCTCCCAAACACTGGAAACAAGACAGCCAGCACTTTTTGTTGTGTGAATTGTGATGTCATTCAACTCAGACTGAGGACCCAATCGACCCCCTGGCCTTTGACCCTTATTAAGCGAGGGTTAGAGTGCTGTATTCAAGGTGTAGCCATCTGTGTGCCTTGTTGTGGCACACAGAGGCTTCCCTCCTCCCGTCTGCACCATCGCTCTTTATCATCCCTTTCGGAGGACGACTGGTTGGTCTCTATCAGTTTTTGAAAGCGGTAGAAACAGAGTGGATGGTTCTCTCAGACAAAGGTAAACTTTTAATATCTCATGGCTATTGAATCATATCAACAGTAAAAACATGCCTTTGCATTTAAGCCGTTAAGGCCTTCTCTGGGCTGTTTTATACCTAATGGTCACATGATTAGTATAGACAGGTATGATATGATCATCATGATATGACCAGTCATATGATAGAGCATATAAAACCAGCACATAACTTCTTAAAGCATCTGAATTTAAAGATATCTGATGCATATTAATAAAAAATCAGTTTCTAAAAGATCAGATGACTTAAAAACAATTACAGAAAAGGAGAAATATCATGTTTCCCATTTAAACCTTTACTGTTGATATTTTACAATAGTCATGAGATATTACAAACATTTAACCCACTGTTTTCTCGAGTGTGTAGGATTTTTTGGATCCCCAAACTGAAGAGCACCATAGGGACATTACTCACCACAGCAGCAATCAAAGCTTATTGTGTTTTGATCATAGACTGAGGTCAATTTGCAGACCATGATTTAAAAAAAAGCATTATTAAAGTGGTGTACATCGAAATGTTTAGATGAGGAAAATATTTTATTTTATTGACCTGTAACATGAACAGTTGATTCAATTTTTTTAACTGCAAAACACTCAAGTATTCTTCAAGAAAAACCAGTGATGCTCGAATGCTGACAGTGTTTTACATAAAGAGCGGGTCTGCAGATCAGACACACGCCACAGTCAAAACACACGTTGGCAGATGACTGACATGTTTCTCATAGTTTCTTTTACAAGTGACGGGTTCAAATGTAATGAGTTGAACTTTGAACTTTACCAGAAAAGGGTTCATCCACCTCTCTTATCATGAAGCGTCCATGTCACTGGTTATCAGCTGGTTTGTTTACAGTGTTGACTCCTACAGTCAGAACATTTAATGAGACTCTTTATATAAAGAACCAACAAATGCATGAGGATAATATTTTCACACAGAAAATTTAATAAACAGGGGTCTTTAGTGAACGGGGCTTTCTATCCTTGTGCCATTGCTGCATTCAGAATGTTCATTTTTCAAAACATGCTCCTTCGTGTTGCTGTCATCCTCCTGAAACTGCACCTTCACCGTCATAGGAGAACATTTATCCACTTTACATTTGACGATCATGGTGTCATTGAATGCTTGGATGCTACAGCTCCTGAGATCAGGCGTCTCATCGGCAGACACCCGACACACCAGCTGCTTTTTGTCCACGGAGGCGACCGTACGTTGTTTCAAAATGTCTGGGCTGTTGCAGAGCACGCTGTCCAGCATCTCTATGGTTTGGTTGTTTCTCAGCACCCAGTCGTGCAGGTACCACATGTGGCAGTCACATCTCCAGGGGTTTCCGTGAAGCCTCAACATGTGCTCCATGATAAAGACATCGAAGAGGCCCAGCGGGAGAGTTTCCAGCTGGTTGTCAGACAAGTAGAGTTGCTGAATGAGCAACTGGTCGTCGAACAGTTTTGGGTCCAACTGCCTCAGATTGTTCTTGTGGAGGTGGATTGATTTGATACTGAAGAGATCATAGAAGATTCTTTCAGGCAGCAACGAGAGCTGGTTTTCAGAGAGATCCAGATTCTCCAGCAGTGTGATGTTTCTAAAAATGTCTTTAGGAAGGTTGGAGAGCTGGTTAGATGACAAGATGAGGTCGGTGAGCGATGTCAGACGGCTGAGAGAGGACAGCTCCGTCAGTCTGTTTCCTTTAAGGTTCAGCTCCTTCAAACTTGTGGCATTGAATCCAAACACATTTTCGCTGAAGGTTGTAAGAAGGTTTCCACGAAGGTTCAGTACATTTAGCTCTGTCAACACGGAGAAGATGCCGTCAGTGAGCTCTGATATCTTATTCCCTTCCAAGTGAAGCTCTGTCAGCTGGGAAATATTGTGGAATGCATCAGATGTAAGATTGCTAATGAGGTTGTTGTTAATTTTCAGGATCTCCAGGCTCGTCAGACCAGAAAATGTCTCTCTCTTCAATTCTTCAAGTGTGTTTTGTGACAAGTCCAGGATGTGGAGGCTGTGGAGGTTCAGGAAAAGAAATGTAGGCAGATGGGATATGACGTTTCCCTTCATCTGCAGAGTTTCTAGCCGTTTCAGGGAATTAAACATGCCGGGGAGCACCGTCTTAAATCTGTTGAAGTTGAGCAGCAGTTTCGTCAAGTTTCTCTGCTGTGAAAAAGTCCCCAGAAATAAATTCTCCAGCCAGGGGTTTCCACTGATCTCAAGCTCCTGCAGCTCAGTCAGATTCTCCAAAGCCTGAGCATGAATACTCCGCAGTGCGTTGTTTAAGAAGACCAGCTTGGTGAGTTGAGGGCTCTCCTCTAAAGTGTGAGGGAGCAGGTACGCCACGGCTGATGTCATTAAAATAAATTCCTTGACCTGCTTGGACATGTCACTGGGCAAAGATGTCATCCGTTCTTCTGCACACAGAACCTGGACTGGAGTGAAACACTGGCATCTGTATGGACATGAGGTTTGTGACTCCGTTTTGCTTTTGTGAGAGAGAAGCAGCATCAGGAGCAGAGTCAGAGACAAGTGTTTGTCCATTTTCCACTGAAAACACAAAGACAGGGAACCAAAGATGTTTCTGTGCATCATCTGCAAGCTGTACACTTAAAGCTGACATTAATTCACAGCAAAAAGAATGAGCTATGTCCATTTCTATAAATGAAGTGCCATAACATACCTCTGTGTTACCAGGATCACGCAGCCTTGAATCAGATTTCCTCCGGTGCGTGCTTACACAAAGTGCAAACGTCAACAAGCCAGAGTTAGGCAAGACAAAACCTTTGGTCAGTGGCCAGATTCTGTCACAGTCTCATCTGCACACACAAAGTTGTTTCAGCAAATCTGTCTCACAGAGAAGAATATTACAGTCTTTTTACTCGTGTAAAATGCAACACGTGGAAGAAAGCTGTGGGTTTTCTGTCTTTGTTAGTTTAATCAAGTCTGTCAGTGTTGAGTCACTGTTTGCCAAAAGCAAAACAAATAGATCCAAGAGCAAAATGGAAAAAGTAGATCAATCTTTCTAGTGATTCGTATTTTATGAACTCAGCCTCTGTATATTTTATTAATTGATGTAATCTGAATGTTTTTTACAGGAGGTACAAACAAGAGCAGTGTAGAGTAATTAACATGAAGTCACATGATAACAATTAGTATGGCACTCAGTAATGAAACCACATTAAAATTCATTAGATCCACTTTTGTATTTGGATCTGCACCAAATGTCACACACTCATAAATATCAGTTCATTGAGATCCACGAATCACTGTCTGAGAAATCAACAAAAAGTTTGAAAAGCACCCATCTCAAAATTTCATGGGTTCCAAGTTTTAAGTAGTTTTTGTGTAATCCTGCTAAATATTTGACAGATAAACAAACAAATGCATCTAAACATTTAATAATCATTATAATTGTAATTATCTAAATAATCATATACAGTGCAGCACAGAGACATTGGACCAATGAAGCATCGAGAAGGAAGCTTGGAGTTGTAAAGGAGTTATATTCTTCATAATGACAGTGTTTCCAGTTAAGGTTTGTGTTGTTAATCATTCCAATAGTGTGTTTATTGTTATATATATCATTATATAGGAATAAGTAAAAGACAACATGTATGCTTAAATTTGCTTTTGAGGTGGAGGACAAAAGGGAACCACAGAGCTTTGTGCTTAGTGTTTGCCTTATGAAAGCTGGTAGGAGGATTAGGAGTCACTTTATTCCACTAGGTGTCGCCCTGTCCCTTGTTACCTCAGTCAGAGGTGTCAGCATTCCTGGATTTTTGCTCACATCCAATTTATTCCCTGAGGATGCACAGGTAGACTCCTTTGTCCAGGATCACATCCACCACCCATAACCACCTGGAACTACTTGCAGGGAGTTTTTTTTAGTTTTTTAGTCTCCACAGACCCTGAGGAAGTTTGACTTTGTACATTTTTGTTCTGATTTGAAAGCTTTACCATCTCTGAAGTGAAGCGATGGCCAATGCAGGACTACAGCTCCTTGGCTTCACACTGGCCTTCCTGGGCTTCATCGGATCCATAGCATGCACGGTCATGGTGGAGTGGAAAGCTTCGTCCTATGCAGGAGACAACATCATCACAGCTCAGGCCATGTACGAGGGACTGTGGAAGTCCTGTGTTACACAGAGCACGGGTCAGATTCAGTGCAAAGTCTATGACTCACTTCTGCAGCTACCAGGTAATATTGTTTTACATCATGTCCTTAATAGCTTTCCTTATAAATATCAACAACTGAGCAAATAACGACATCTAAAAATGATAATTCCCTTCTTTTACAAGGATATGTTTGTGGGAAGGTAATGAGCCATAATGAGCCATGAATTATCTGTTATTCTAACAATGTTGGATTTGTTTAATGGCAACTTCATGGAATTAAAATGATAAATTCATAAAATCTTTGGACTATTGTAAGAATCGCCTGTATAATGTGTAAAACAAACAAAGTCTCTGGCTATTCAAACCTCCCTACAGTAACCTTACCTCTTCATGTTGCGTGCACAGACATGTCAGTCAAATACCAGCAGCTGAAGCCTGACTCAAAAGAAACATCTATTCCCACTGAAATCCTTTCAAATTGAATAGAAGCTGTGGACTGTGTTCTGTTTCAAATGTAAACATATCTGTGTAAATTGATTTTTGAGTCCTGTTCAATAAAAAACCAGTGATATCTGCTTCATCAGAAGAAACCGATGGTGAAGGAATGTTTTGAGAACACCTCAGCTGGACGTGACTTATGTTGTTGGTGTTCCCGCCTGTTTTGTCTCAGTTGAATACAAGAGGATGTACATTGAGATTATTGTCATAAAAACGAATGTGATTTTCATAGGGTTTACTTAAAAACTAGAATATCACTTCACAACCACATTTAAAGTCACTAGATCCAGATTTTTATTTGGAGCTGCACCAAATTTCTACAAGAAAAAGTTTCAGAAAGTGGATGAATCTGAATGAAACCTGATCCTGTTTCATGTCCTTGTCCCCAGGGATTGTTCAGGGCACTCGAGGGCTGATGTTGTCCGCCATATTGTTTAGCTTTATTGCAATGCTGGTGGCAGTGGTGGGCATGAGGTGCACCACATGCATGGGGCAACAGCCGGAGCAGAAGGACAAGATGGCGCTGGCTGGAGGGATCATCTTCATCCTTGCTGGTCAGAATCCGTTCAGCTGACACACACACACACACAAACACACACACACACTCACACATACACACACACACACTGGTCAATACACACATTCATTCCATCACCTTTGATGTAGGCTTATCTATTGTCCTTTGCAGCAATTGTCAAACAGGATTCAACTTGTCATGAATATGTGTTTTTCAGATGTTTTAACCTTTAAAATGCAACAACATGAAGTTTCTCTGCTCGTTGGTTTTCCAGGTCTGCTTGCTCTGGTTGGAACATCCTGGTATGGCCACAGAATAGCACAGGACTTCTACAACCCATTTACTCCCACTAATTCAAAGTGAGTAACTGTGGGTTAATGATCAGGTATGACTGAAGGTGTGTGGAATGAAGCAGGGGACTGACACGGACTCACATCTTTTATCCTGCTGTCCTCCTCCTGCCAGGCCAAGTTTTCATTTGGTTTATCAGCCAATAGTTTGACATTTTGTAAATTAGAAAAACAGCAACAGTCTCCTTGAATTCAAGCTCCACCCAATTTCACACCTAGATGTCTGTTTCCTGAAGGTGCCCTGAATGGAATTTCCCGTGAGATCAGTGAAAGTATAAATCTCAAAATGTTGAATCCGCCCAAGATCTGGATTTGCACCAAATTTGATCGATTCCTAACATGTAACACCACAATTAGTCATGACTTGGTACACTATGGTTTTGGGCAGAGCCAGGCAAGCTATTTCTATCTGTTTTCAGTCCTTATGCTAAGCTAAGTTAACAACCTAATGGCTACAGCTTCATATTTAGTGTACAGACGTTAAGAGTTGTATCAACCTTCCCATCCAACTCACAGTAGAAAAAAGCAGATATGACTATTTCATATATGTTTATTGATAGTTTTCTGTACACAGATATATGACATATATATGTTTATAACTAAACATTAAACGTTATAAACACACCCGACAACACTAATATGACTACACAAAAAAATGAACAAACTTATTGGGGAGTGAGGGATGAGTGAGCGTTCTCTTTTATGTTCATGTAGTTCATCTTAGAAGGATGTCGAAACAATGATAAATAGTAAATGTTTTCCATGTTCACCTAAGTAAATAAAATAATGTGTGTGTCATTCACAGGTATGAATTTGGAAGTGCTCTGTTTGTGGGATGGGGCGCTGCATGTCTCATCATTATAGGAGGGGGCTTCCTCTGCTGCAACTGCCCCACCAAAGGCTCCGGGAAATCTCCACGCTACCCACCCACCCGCTCTGCCGGAACGACAGGCAAGGATTATGTGTAGGGGGGGGGGCATCTCTCCTTTCAGCCTCAGCTCATGGAGGAGTGATATTCAGCATATAGTGTGTTTGCAGCTGTTGTAAGTGGTGTTTGTTTATAGCTGTTGGGGAAATAAAGGTTTTTGTTCGTCCACACATAGTAAAACAGATGCTTATTATAAAAGAAGTGTTCTGACACCTTCACATATGAACAATTA